CCCTCTCCCTTATAGAGCGAGGAGGCATTGGACACTCAAGAAGGCACATTGATTTTAAACTGTGGACCTCCAGGGATTTTCCTTTAGGCGATGTCATTCACATTCTAACATACAGGTTCGTAAAGAAGCATGATTCCAAAGAAAGAATAGAAATATATTAACAAGAGCCAATGTTGGAGGCCATGTGTACCTTTAGTTCTTCAGTATGTTGTCTGATCTACACAGATGTCACTGAAGCAGTCTGTGTCAGTAAGAACTTGGTGGTAGGTTTTCAGCTCAGATTTTGCAGACACCTTAACTTGGTTTTGCTCAGGGCAGTGCCCACCAGAAGAATGAACCTTAAGAAGGAAAAGAATAGGTGACAGGAGGCCTGAGAGAGCTAACCAGCTAACCCACCCAAAATGCATGTTTCCTTTTCCCAGTCTCAGACTTAACATAAGGCCTTCATCTCCTGACCTCAGAGGGAGAGAGCAGCACCTGATAACTAGAAATGGACTTGGGTGGTTATCGTGCATTAAAGTACATTTATATGCTTTAATTGAGTCCTGTGGAAATAGGAGTTCTTCTGTGTTGGAACGCTGTTAGAACTACAACAGTAGTTCCTAATATTTACTGTTATTTTATACCTCAAAGTAAAAATTAATTGTAAAAATTACATAGATGAATACATTTATATAGGATTTATACCTAAAAATCTTACTGAGGTGTGGGTGGGTGGGCTTGTAATCATATTTTTTTAGTTGACCTGTGTAAAGTTTTTTTCTACAATTACTGTGATTAAAGCAATAAAAGTCTTTTTGGTAACATAATATGTTCCAGTTTTAGAAACTTCATTAATTAAAATGAATGTAAGATTTAATTTAGCAGCATTTTTAATGTAAACCTGAAGATAGAATTTCTGAATTGACTTAATAATGACTTAATTAAGGACAGCTAGTTATTGTGCCAAAAACAGATCTAGCACATATTGAATTCACATGATATGATAACATGTGATTTCATTGCCCAGACTACGCATTAATTTTCGTTAAGTGAGGACTTACATGCCAGTAATTTTGGTAACAGAATAAAATGCATGTAATTACACTCTATCTCCCTTGTCTTTAAAACAAAACCTCTCAGAGAATTGTCTGTACTTATTCATGCCCCACTTACTCTTCAGCTCATTCTTAATTGGCTTTTACTCTTTACTATTCCATGGAACCTGTTCTTTTCAAGGTAACTAGCAACTTCCTGCTGCCAAATATTAGTTATTCTTTTTCCCCATCTTACACCACCTCTCAGCAACAGACATAGGTTAATGACTCTTTCTTTCTTAAAGCTGCTGTTTCCTCAGGACTTCCATGATCCAAGATTCTTTTTTGTTTTCTGTCTTTCTCATTCATAGAACTTCTAGTATTAGAAGGCTTTGGACCAAGTCCTGGACTTAATCTTTTCTCCAGTTACTCCCTGACTGATCCTACTCATCCCCGTAGTTTCCGATATCATCAACAAACCCTATTGATTCTACCTTCAAAGAATATCTAAAATGTAGTCATTTTCTCCCATTTTTACTGCCTATTCTGTAGTCCATGCAGTGTTGGGACTTCTGGGTTTGCTTCCTAGCTTCTTTTCCTTCCTCTACTTTGCCCTCTGTAATCCATCTCCAAGTAGTAGTGAGAGTTACTAAAAAGCAACCAAATTCTTAATCCATGCAGTATCCAGAATCATTAAACAAAAAGCAGAAACCTTTGATCATGTCACTGCCTTGCATTAAAAACTCCTAGGCTTTTAGGATAAAATCTATGTTCCTTGCCGTATTCTGTCAAGCCCTCCTTAATGTGAGTGCTGCCGACTTGATCAACACATACAGCCGTGCTTGCCACATACCAAGCTCAGGTTTCCACTCTGCTCCGTCTTCTACTGTCAAACACTGATTCCTAGACTGAATGAGCTTCTACCTCTCATTCAGGGTTCAGATCAGATATTATTACCTCAGAGTGGCTTTCCATCACCGCTTTAAATGGGCACCCCT